TCTTGATAAAGCCCCTTCTGAATGTAATCCTCACTATTCTTTTAGCCGGCTGGATAACAAGTTTGCAGAAAAGTCCATCTCTTCTGGGTACAACTTCAGGTAAGTAAAGAGGAGGATACGATGCAGCATCGCAGTTGGGCTGAGCTGGTTTGACTCGCAGGCGGTGGAGGTTGGCAGTGAAGTAGCACCAGGTCATGCCAGGCGCTGCCCCAGCCAAGCATGCTGCTTTGGAGGAGGGGAGGGAGAGAATCATGCTCATGGCAAACTAAAGCTGGTTTTGATACGGGGATAGATGTGTTCAGATAGGTTCTTGTGGAGGGCAGGCAGATGAAGGAGTTAAAGTCCATGTTGTTGTATTCCAGGTTTGCCAAATATTACCGGGATGCTGAGGGGGTCGACTACCGGATGCTCATTAAAGCGTATGGAATCCGCTTTGATGTGATGGTGAACGGCAAGGTGAGGCCCAGGCCAGGATATTTCAGAGGCTGGAGAGAAAGAAGGTGGGGACCATGTCTCAGTGGGAGGGCAGCTCTGGGATGAGAACAGCCTTTCTGGCTTGATGTAGGAAAGGGCTCTTGCCGTTCATCCATGTGGACCTAACCCTATGTAAGAAAGGAGATGACCTGGAATAAGGATGGGTCTGCATCACTTCTACCTAAGAACAGGCTCATGTAAAGTCCAACAGAAGTAAATGTGGCCCCGAGACTTGTTTTCCATGCGTATGCACTGCAGAAAAAAGAAGCCTGATCCAGGGATGACGCAAGCTCAGAAATGCAGCCATGGGCAGTTGGCTCTGAGACACACGGACCTTTAGCCTCCAAGATCATTCACTGCAAATCTTCTATGGTTGTGCCTGGTGACTGCTAACAAAACGCACCCACAGGCACGAGTAGCTTCCCCCGTGGGATACCACACCCTCAGTTTGTTTCTTGGGTTGTTCTTTCACCGAGTACTTCATGACGTTTTTTCTTTTAGGCAGGGAAATTTAACATCATTCCCACTGTTATCAATATCGGTTCGGGACTTGCTCTCATGGGAGCGGTAAGTGAATGGGTTTGCTTGAAGGAACATGCTGGGACCCAGATCCCTCATTTAGCTGTGGTGAGGAGAAAATGGGCTGGTTGGTTTAGATCTTCTCCAGCAGAGATTTTACTACTCTGTCCGGCGTGTGTCTCTGTCCTGTCTTAAAAGCATTTGTTAATGTACCTTGTAGTCTAAATACCCCTAAGATTACATAGAATATGAAAGAAAATACAGCTCCTGCAAGTTATCCTTCTTTAATTAATACTTATCGATAATCAGATCAGAACACTGCCTCTTCAAAGATAAAACACAAGTTCTTTCTGTTTGCAGGGAGCTTTCTTTTGTGACCTGGTGCTGCTGTATCTGATTAAAAAGAGTAACTTTTATCGAGGCAAAAAGTACGAGGAAGTAAAGTAAGTGGGCTTGGCTTTTGTGTTTAAACATAATGGCTTTATTGTTATGACTGATAGAAAGAGATACGGGAAGACAGTAAACATTAATGGCAAACAAAGGCCAATGGCAGGAAATTAAATTCGTCCAAATGAGTTTAGCCAAGTTCCTCCCTCCCTCCGTCCGTAATTCATTGCTGCAGTCAGCTGGGGAGCACAGGAAGTGCTGTGTCACGGCTGGGCTATAAACGGCCTTCGCTGTCGGTGCGTAACAACCGAGCATGGAACCGGGGCAGCTCCAGAGCCTCATGAAACTGAGAACTGGGGCTTTATCTGTGTGGAGGGTGATGGCCTTTGTGGTGAGGTGTGGCAGGCCTGGCTGGGAACCTCTTGCCTGTGTTGCCTCCTGAAACAGAAACAGTGTGCTTGCCATGTCTGTCACCTCTCCTTGTTTCCTCAGGTCCAGTTCCAGGAAATCGTTATCCAGCCCTACGCTGAATGGGAATCAGAGCCCTGAGCAGCTGGGTGGGCTCTAGGCTCAGTGATGGGTCTGCCAGCTGGACTCGTGTTCCAGGAGAACCACGCAGGTGTGAAATCACACCAGGACTGGGAGGTGGAGATACCCCAGATCAGATCTACTATTATTGGGATTTCCAGAGGAAAAAAAGTCCTTTAAAGAACACCATTCTTTCCCTGAGATGTTCTCTGGTATCTGAGCTCGCAACACTATGTTGTCACTATGGATTTATAAAAGGATTTTGTAAAAGGAAAAAGGCGGCACCAAAAAAGTGGTTTTATATCTATTGATAGATATGTCTGTACCCGTGTCAATAGCCAGCGTGATCCCGCGGCCGTGCTTGGCTTCCCGTGTGATGGGAAACACCACTGGCACTTGGAGGAGGGCAGAGGCTGAGATTGAACCTGTCTCCTGCTCCGCTGGCTCGTGGCTGCAACTTCCAGCTCCTGCTTGTGCTACATGCAAGATGAGATGTGAAGCAGCAGGACTGCTCCTGTCGGGAAGCGCGATGAAACGCAGCATTCCAGCAGCTCTCAGAGCCGGGGGAAGGGGATGGCTTATCCTGCAACGCCTGTGCTGGCTGGGCCTGTGTCACAGTGGGGGCAGTTACTCTTATGGTGGGGGTGTGTGTAACCGTTAGGGCTGGAAACAGTGCTTCCCCAGGAAAAGCCTTCCCAACAGCTGCATTGTCTCTGGAACAGCAGGAAAAGGTCCTGCCGCAGCCCTGAACGGAGCAGCAGTTCTCACCCGCTGCCCACCGGCTCCCTTGTAGCTGGCCCAGAGACATGGACGTTTCGGAGCACAGAGCAGGTAACGGCAGGCAGGGGAGTGTTTCGAAGCAAGGCAGGGACAGGTGGTTTTGTGGTTGATAGTGGGGAGGAAGGGGTTAGTGCACTGGAAAGCAACGTGGCACTGGGAGTACCTGCACAGGGATGGTCTTAGGTGCTCCCTCCTTTGTTCAGTGGTGGGTTTCATTTGCTCGGGATTGTCCTTTCTGCTGCACTTACCGATGGCTCATGGTGGGGAGAGCTCTGGATGGGGGACTCGATGCTTCTGCTGGTTTTTGTAGTACCCTGAACTGTGCTGCAGAGGCTGAGAAGGGGACGTCTGTCAGGTGAAACAGACTTGGCCAGGTTCTTCCAAATACAGCGACAGGAGGAACATTTAGAAGACACGTCTGCTGTTTCAGCACTCTAGTAACTTGCAAGAACTACTCCTGCTGCTTTGTTTCTCAATGGAGAAATGTCTCATTGCGGCCCATTTTGTGACCACGTGCTCGTGTGGGGATGTAACTCACCTCAGAAAAGTGCTTATCAGAATGTCATTGTTTAAAGTTTGCACTTGCCTGAGCTGTCGGGAACCGACTCGCCAGCTCCTCAAGCCAGTGGGTGAATAAATTTCAAGCTCCCTGGTACAAACCAACCAGTGTGCTGAAAACGCTGCCAGGTGGCCATGGATCAGGAGTCGTTACAACAAAGATTCGGTGTTTCTGTGCCCTCTCTGAGTGCCACGAGTTAAAGGACTCCTGTGCAGCCACCTTGCGTATTGCTTGGACAGCTGTAGCGAGGGGTGTTAGAGCTGCTGTGCTCGAGCGTTCTGCAAAAAGGGCAACAGCACCTTTGCTTTAAGGTGGTTACTCTGAGGCACAGGTTGATCCTAAATTAAAATTCACCTTTGTTAGCAGTGCAGACTGAATCTAGTCACTGATCGCAAACCCCACCCCGTCTAGTCTGCTCCGCTGCTTCTGTTCAGACGCAGGTAATTATCGAGTCAAACATTTAGCTAGAAAATAGAATTAACCAGTGGACTGACTGAAAATAATTTAGGATGAGCTGCCTACCTGATGCTATACGCACATCCAGAGCCTCCTCTCTTCATGCCAGCAGTCTCTCCCTTAGGCGAACAAGTTAACGTGTGTAACGGACACGCCAATAAAACAGCACAGGCTTCTGAATGCCCGAGCTCAATCCTATTTAAACATCCAGATGGTGAAACACATGGTGAATCCACATGTGACTCCAGACCAAGGAGACCTGGGCTCATGGAGACCAAGTAGCTCATCGTAACACATAAAGCTGATGTGCTCTACTGAAACCGATGTTTCAGCTTGACAGGACAACATCCTCTTCTTAGATGACCCAAACGTTTTCCTGAATTTAAGTCAAGGGCTTCAAGCCCCCCAAAATTTCCCTTCTTTAGACCACCTGTTTAACACAAATCCCACAACCAGTGCCGTTGATAAAATACAACCAGATTCCTTCTCAGAGAGCTTGTTTCTCTGAGTTTGATTTTTTTTCCTCCTTGTAATTAATGTACAGCAATAAAATTTGTCACTTTAGGGCAATGCTTCCCAAGGCCCTTCTGTACAGCATGGTTTTTAGGTTGCACACACCCGATTCTCTGTGTGACACATACTTCTGCAAACCAAGTCAATTAAACACTTGAGTTTGTACAAGCAGCTCCATAGCAAAGATATTACCTGTACAGTGGACCATCAACTTTTCCTTTCTGTTCCTGCTGGAGACATACAGAACCACAATTGTGGGAAATGCCAGCAGGGTTACATGTGTGCTCAGTATGGACTGAGCTGGCAGATTATCAGACACTGCACACACAGGGTTGTCTGTGTTTCATCGGACACTAAAAAATGAAGAAAGTGTTTGACTTGTGAGAGCATTACTCAGTGATTTTGGCACATGCCAGTGAAGAGCGCCTGTGACAATGTCATTTATTGATACTGTGTACATACAGCAATTGTGGAAATAATGTCTGCACTAGCAACTCATTTACATTTCTGTACCAAACTTTCACCTACACTTAATTACATGCTACTGGGCAGTATTTCCTTATGTCAGTGGATTATTTTTTAAGAATGCTGTGTTACACATTGCTTTCATCACTATTTGTGCGTAGGGCCAGGCAGCAAATCTGGAAGGGACTGTAATTGGTGTGTCTTATCCAAAACACAGGGATTCAAGGGCCTACGTTAACCAAAACCCAGGCTGTGCCCGCAATTAGGGACAGAAGTTATTCCTTAACCACCAAACATTCGTGGGAGCCATCCACGTTACGTTTCACATTCAGTTTAATTAGAACAGTGCTACCGATTCGTTTGTACTCGGACATAATTTACTGACTGTGTTAACCATACAAGCGACGAGCAGCAGTTTCAAAGGTGAGCTGGCCTAGGTGAGTAGGTGACTTTTGGCATCAGTCCTCCTGCTTCGTTAAAAACCACTGCAGCTAACGTGGCTCCGAGCTGTTTTAGTAGACGTGAACCATGCCGTAGAGGAAAGTCCAGAACAGGACATAGGTGAAGAGCCCTCCTATCAGCCCCCCCGTGAACAACGGCCTTCGGGATTTAAAGTACTTATTCCATCGCCGCCCGGCTTTTAGCACCAGCAGCACGGAGAGCAGGACGGACGCCAGGAAGTAGAAGATGAAGCCGTGCAGACCGGTCAGGCCCAGGACCCCCGCCGTGGCGCCCGACAGCGCCGAGACAGACGTCCTGCAGTAGTCCAGGACGGCGGCGTTGCCC